TTGCTGCTTTAGTGACAACTCAAAACATCTCCACACTTGTTCCATTACAAAAATTATAAAAACATGACTCTGAAATAATACTTTTGATGGCAAATTGTTGGCAATTTATTCACAGATAGAAAATTTAACTTTCTTCTATACCATCAACCAAAACGTCAAACAACAACAACACAAAGATCAATAAAACTATAGATGTATAAAATAGAATGAAGCGTGTGAATTTGAGTGTGTGTGTGTGAATGTCAGTGTGTGTGAGTGTCTGTGTGCGAGTGTGTGTCTGTGTGCGTGAGTGAGTGAGTGAGTGCGTGTGAGTGTTTGTGAGTGTGTCCGATAAATCATGATCAGGTTTGCTGAACGAATCCGAGGCATCAGTAACAGCAGCAGTTGATACGCTGAGAGAGGCGGAGGGTGTGTCTCTGCTCGGGGCTCTTGCTCCGCGCAAATGTGGCTGCAGAGACGGACCTCCACCCGGGGTCTCCACTCTCTCCCCTCTCGACCTCACTCACTGATCCGCGAGTCAATCTCTGAAGCAGTGTATACTGCTTATAACTATTCTTTTTCGCCATCACTCTTGCTATACTATCGCTAAACTAGATCTGATCCGTCTCAATGCTACGCTATCATCGCTCGCTCTGCTAAAGCAGCACGCTGTCCAAAGACCCCACACTCCTCCTCCTTCTCTCCACTGACTTATGACCTCTCCTGTGGTGCAATACTGCATCCTACTGGTGGTGATTTATCATTACAGGTACATTTGCACTATATATCAGTGTTGTGGGTCATTAACAAGGTGCGCCAGACATTACTGCAGCCTCCCGTGTAATAACACGAAAAAGTCGTCTAAGTCGTCTTGGGCAGTGAGCGTCACTATACAATAGAACGACTTTTGTCGTCATGGGCAGTGAATGAGTTAATAGGGTTTTTTTCATGTAAACCAGTATAATGCAACTTAATGGGGATTTTTCCATGTAAACCAGTATATTTTTTTTATTTTATTTATTTATTTATTTATTTCAAAACCTGCACAAAAACAAGTACAAATATCAGTTATCAAATAAAAAGAGTCACAAGTTTTGAAAAGGGGGTTGGGTGAAGCAGACGCTTATACATTTCCAACCCCCTCACACTTCCAGCAAAACAGAAAATACAAATTACACTAACACTGTACAGTTATATCATTGCATCAAATACAAAATACAAAATAATAATAAAAAAACAAGACACACAGAGACAAGACGCACACTCATTCTCTCACTCACACAGACACTGGCCCAAACACTCCCTGACCACACACCTCTCTCCCACCGCTCTGTCCAGGCCCAGGGCATCACTCTCTGTCCTCCATGTATTTCTTCAATATGTCTCTTTTAAATTTCTTTTTAAAAGCAGTCATAGTTGAGCATGTTTTTAATTCTTCTTTTAATCCATTCCAAATGTGGACGCCTCGGACCGAGATACACATAGATTTTAATGTCGTCCTAAATCTAGGTACATATAAAAGTTTGTTTCCTCTTAATCTGTAATTATGATGAGCATCTCTATCGTTGAAAAGATGACTTATATTGGACGGTAGAGAGTTTTCAGACGCCCTGAACATTATCTGAGCAGTTTTTAGGACAATCAAGTCCTGCAGTTTCAGTTGCTGGTTTTGAATGAACAGAGGATTGGAAGGATGTCTGTAGTGGACGTTGGACACAATCCTTATAGCCTTCTTTTGCAAGATAATCAGAGGCTGTAAGTGAGATTTGTAGCAATTACCCCACACTTCCACACAGTAATTTAAATATGACATTATAAATGAATGATACAGTAACATAAGAGCATTGGTATTGATCAGGTGACATGCTCTCCTCATTATTCCCACACACTTAGCAACTTTTGTCCTCAAGTAACTTATGTGAGGTTTCCAGCTCAGATCTTCATCTATTATCACTCCCAAGAATACGTTTTGTGGAACTTTGTGAATCGGTGTGTCATCAATTGTAATTCTAACTGGAATTTTACTTTTGCGATTACTAAAAAGCATGATTTTGGTCTTTTTTTAGGTTAAGGGACAGTTTGTTATTATCAAACCATAATTTTAGTCTGTTCATCTCCATTGTTACAAGGGATAGAAGTTGCTCCAAGTCGTCTCCTGAACATGTGATGGTGGTGTCATCGGCAAAGAGTATAAACTTCATGACTGTTGATATTTTGCATATTTCATTGATGTACATAAGGAAAAGCGTGGGTCCCAGTATCGATCCTTGTGGAACTCCACAAGTTATGTCCCTAAAACCTGACCTGTGCATATCAAACTGAACAAGTTGTTTCCTCCCCTTGAGATAACTTTCCAACCATTTTTTTGATGTCCCCCTTATGCCATAGTTTTCCATTTTATTTATGAGAATGTGGTGGTCGATTGTATCGAAGGCTTTTTGGAGATCGATAAAGATTCCTATTACAAATTTATTATTATCTATACCATTCGTTATATCTTCAATTAAGTCAATTAAGGCAAGTGATGTTGATCGTCTATTTCTAAAGCCGTATTGGTCATCGGATAGTAAATTAAAATGACAGATAAAGTTGCGAAGTCTATTATCATATAGTTTTTCTAATATTTTGGAAAACTGTGGCAGGAGGGAGATGGGCCTATAGTTGTTAAAGCAGTGTTTGTTTCCAGTTTTGTATATTGGGATGACTTTTGCTTTTTTCATTTGTGATGGAAAGTGACCGAGCTGAAAAGATAAGTTACAGATGAAAGTGAGTGGTTTAATGATTTCATTTGCTATATTCCTTACAGTTCTCATGTCTATATCGTCAATATCTAATGATGTCTTACTTTTACACTTTCTGATGATGCTGAGGACTTCCTCCTCATCCGTGGGAGAAAGGAACATCGAACTTTGGTTTACTTCAGTTAGATGATTCGCCCGATCACTGTCAGATGGGATTTTTTTTGCAAGTTCAGGGCCCATGCTGACAAAGAAATCATTAAAACACTCTGCAATCATCCTTTTATCACTGATGATGGTGTCCTTCTCCACAAAATACTCTGGGTAGTGCAGGCTAGAGCTTCGACCAATCACGGTGTTTAATATTTTCCAAATCTCTTTGATATCATTTTTTTTATTAATTAGTAAATTTGTGTAATAGTCTTTTTTGCTTGTCCTTAGTATACTGGTTAACTTATTTTTGTATTTTTTGTACCTCAGTTCATTTTCTATAGTTCTAACTCTAAAAAGTTATAAAAGTATAATGCAACTTAATAGGGGTTTTTACATGTAAACCAGTATAATGCAACTTAATAGGGTTTTTTCCATGTAAACCAGTATAATGCAACTTAATAGGGATTTTTCCATGTAAACCAGTACAATGCAACTTAATAGGGATTTTTCCATGTAAACCAGTATAATGCAACTTAATAGGGTTTTTTTCATGTAAACCAGTATAATGCAACTTAATGGGGATTTTTCCATGTAAACCAGTATTATGCAACTTAATAGGGATTTTTCCATGTAAACCAGTATAATGCAACTTAATAGGGTTTTTTTCATGTAAACCAGTATAATGCAACTTAATAGGGTTTTTTTCATGTAAACCAGTATAATGCAACTTAATGGGGATTTTTCCATGTAAACCAGTATAATGCAACTTAATAGGGGTTTTTTTTTACATGTAACCAGTATAATGGAACTTAATAGGGATTTTTCCATGTAAACCAGTACAATGCAACTTAATAGGGATTTTTCCATGTAAACCAGTATAATGCAACTTAATAGGGTTTTTTTCATGTAAACCAGTATAATGCAACTTAATGGGGATTTTTCCATGTAAACCAGTATTATGCAACTTAATAGGGATTTTTCCATGTAAACCAGTATAATGCAACTTAATAGGGTTTTTTCATGTAAACCAGTATAATGCAACTTAATAGGGTTTTTACATGTAAACCAGTATAATGGAACTTAATAGGGGTTTTTCCATGTAAACCAGTATAATGGAACTTAATAGGGGTTTTTCCATGTAAACCAGTATAATGGAACTTAATAGGGGTTTTTACATGTAAACCAGTATAATGCAACCTAATAGGGATTTTTCCATGTAAACCAGTATAATGCAACCTAATAGGTTGCATTATACCACCAGACCAAGACCCAAACGAAGACTCAGACCACCACCAGATAATGACCACAGACCAGGTTTCCTTAGTTACAGGAACCAAATTGTTTCAGCGGTGAGGGGATTTTTCAGTTTCAAGGACACTTTCAATACATTCAGTAGTTTCAAGGATTTCAACTGTTTAAGAATTTAACCAGTTTCAAGGATATCAGGAGGTTCAAGGATTTCAGGAGTTTCCACACTTTCAACAGTTTCCAGGTTTAAAAAAGTTTCAAGGATTTCAGGAGTTTCAATGTTTCAAGGATTTCAGGAGTTTAAAGGTTTCAACAATTTCAAGGACTTCAGGAGTTTCAAATATCTATCAAGTATTTTAACAGTTTCAAGGCCTTTTAAAAGATTTCAAGGATTTTTTTTAGCAGATTTCCACATTAGATCTGTTCCGCAGTCAATCGCAATGGCTTCAGCCATTGCAAGTTTCTAGTTTTTTCTGAAAACTCACAAGTTGTGGAAGCTGAACATGCACAAACTGCAGAAAATGCTGAAAATGTTGAAGAAAATTCTGAAAACTATGAATTTGTGGAAGCCCCATTATAAGTCAATGGGAAAAATCGACCGATTTTTGTCCGATTGCGGAAAAACCGGAAATCGCTGAAGTCCCAAAAGTAATAGCAATAATCTCCCAAACATGTGGAACGTTTTGATGTATAACTTGTGGAAATTGTTGAAAATGTGAAAGCTGTGAAACGTGTCAAAAATCAGGAAAAAGACGGAATAAAGAACACCAAAACCAATGGTTGACTGCGGAAGGTTCCGCAGTCAATCAATTATATCATTTTAAGTTTATCCTTGGGCAAGACACTTCACCCCACTTTGCCCAAAGCCCCCACTGAAAGGCTATGCTCACACTCCGAGAGCAGCCGTCCTCCTGTGGACTCACCACCTGCAGAGGGTCAGTGAGGGGCTGGTGCTATGAGACTTGGGTGGCATCTCTGACTGTCACCCCCCTGACCCAGAAATGGATTAAAGGGTAGAAAATGGATGGATGGATCATTTTAAGTTCTCCTACATCTTAGAAAATCCAAAAAATAAAAAAATAGATTGCTTTCTTCAAGGACAAAAACATTGACGTGTTAAAGCTCTGAACCTAATCTACAATTAGTAACTATGAAGTCTAGAGATCATAGCACTATCCCAGGGGTCGGCAATCCGCGGCTCTGGAGCCGCATGCGGCGTGTGCGCATGGATCCCAAAGCTTAAAAGAGAAAGAGTCGAAGACTGGACTAAGACTGCTTCATGTTTGTAATGAAGTTTTGTTGCAACACGAGGAACAATGAAGCACAAAACACCGTTGACGGTGATCACGTGAAGGATTAATTCATCAAAAATTCAGAGCACCTACTTTCAGACTTCAAAAACCTCCGCAAAGACGGTGAAAGAAAGGGCCATTAAGGACATTAATTCAGCTCCAGCCAACTTCAGCCTGTGATGTGATCGATATGAACAGACAGTGCTGTGATGCAGGTATAGGACCTCTGAGCCAAAAAGCAGATTTATTTACTGTATTTCTACAATTGCATGAAGGCAAAAAAATTGAAGTAAAAGTTAAAGCAGAGCACGTGGTGCGTCATTCTCTCCAGGACACGCTGCAGTGAAAACACACATTTGATAATCATGAATGCTTATTATGTATTTGTAGCCTTTACTTTGTCCGTTAGATATTAGACTATTAATGCTAATACAGCTTGCAGCCTGTGTTACCTTCATATAAGCCTTATACAAGGCTGTTATTCTTTTTAAATCTCCAGACAGATGCTTTTAGTTTTTTTTATCAAACATGGCTCTTTGAACCTTTTGAGTTGCCGACCGCTGCACTAGCCCAATGCAGCCATTAGTCGTTTTTCATCAGAACTCAGTACATCTCAGCTCCTAAATCCAAATCAATTTAGTGTCGGCCCATGACATTAAAACTTTCCGCAATAAATAATGTGACAGACTCATCAGTTAGTTATCCCGCTCCCTATGGACTAATGGCCTCTATTTGTTTGTTAGAACTTCATTCTCTGTGTTCGAACTTTCTGATTTGTTGTTGCGTAGTCAACAACTTCGTAAACTCTGCTGTTGTGATTTAGGGTTGTATAAAAAACTGAATTGAACAGGAATTAAATGTGGCTCAAATGGTAGAGCATTGGTCTTTGGACCTGATGTTTAATTGAAGTCCCCGCTGAAAGACCAAGGCCGTATCTGCGTTAAAGGAGCAGCCATCTTCCTGTGGACCCACGCCCTGCAGGAGGATTAGTGAGGGACTGGTGCTTTGAATTGGGTGGCAGCTCTGATTGCCCCCCCCCCAACCCAGAAATGGATCATAAAAGGATGAAAATGAATAAATGGTATTGTACAAATGTTCTTTGTCTTTCAGTCTTGTGGAGCTGAACGACTCCTCGGCCACGACCTCTGTCTCGGGCTCAGATGTTGTTGACGACAAAAGAAGAGATGAGGAGGGAGGAGAGATGGAGGAAGCAGAGCCTTTTGTGGATGACAATGACGAAGAACTCACTGAGGAGGTGAGCGATTACCGAAGCTTGTTTGACACACGGCTGTAGTGACTTTTCATGTAAACCTGAGGCGCCGCTTGGTCAGTCTCAACCATAGACTCCACAGAGATGTATGTATCTTTGTGTTTTTGGGCTCTCTATGACTGTTAGTCATAGTTTCCACATTAGTTTGCATCTGCCCCGTTACGGCGTGACGCTCAGCCTATCTGGACAAATGCCTGTAGAAAAAAAATTGTCTCCAGGTAGCTTAAGTTCAAATCAGCTGCTTCTGCTTTTGGCAAACACTATGTCAGTCCACTCCTAATGTATGGCAGATGGTCTAAACGGGGCTTTGGAGTTTATACCTTGATTCATACAGTGGGGCAAAAAAGTATTTAGTCAGCCACCGATTGTGCAAGTTCTCCTACTTAAAATAATGAGGTCTATATTTTTCATCATAGGTACACTTCAACTGTGAGAGAAAATCCAGGAATTCACATTGTAGGATTTTTAAAGAATTTATTTGTAAATTATGGTGGAAAATAAGTATTTGGTCAATAACAAAATACTTTGTAAAATAACCTTTGTTGGCAATAACAGAGGTCAAACGATTACTATAGGTCTTTACCAGGTTTGCACACACAATAGCTGGTATTTTGGCCCATTCCTCCATGTTTCGGGGTTGTCGCCGAGCAACACGGACTTTCAACTCCCTCCACAGATTTTCAATGGGGTTGAGGTCTGGAGACTGGCTAGGCCACTCCAGGACTTTCAAATGCTTCTTACAGAGCCACTCCTTCGTTGCCCGTGCGGTGTGTTTGGGATCATTGTCATGCTGGAAGACCCAGCCACGTTTCAAGCTCTCACTGATGGAAGGAGGTTTTGGCTCAAAATCTCACGATACATGGTCCCATTCATTCTTTCCTTAACACTGATATCGTCCTGTCCCCTTAGCAGATAAACGGCCCCAAAGCATGACGTTTCCACCCCCATGCTTCACAGTAGATATGGTGTTCTTGCGATGCAACTCAGTATCCAAACACGACGAGTTGAGTTTATACCAAACAGTTCTACTTTGGTTTCATCTGACCACATGACATTCCTTCCAATCCTCTGCTGTATCATCCATGTGCTCTCTGGCAAACTTCAGACGGGCCTGGACATGCACTGGCTTCAACAGGGGGACACGTCTGGCACTGCAGGATTTGATTCCCTGTTGACTTAGTGTGTTACTGATGGTAACCTTTGTTACTCTAGTCCCAGCTCTCTGCAAGTCATTCACCAGGTCCCCCCGTGTGGTTCTGGGATTTTTGATCACCGTTCTCATGATCATTTTGACCCCACGGGATGAGATCTTGCATTCGAGGGAGATTATCAGTGGTCTTGTATGTCTTCCATTTTCTGATAATTGCTCCTACAGTTGACTTGTTCACACCAAGCTTCTTGCCTATTGTAGATTCACTCTTCCCAGTCTGGTGCAGGTCTACAATTCTTTTCCTGGTGTCCTTCGACAGCTCTTTGGTCTTGGCCATAGTGGAGTTTGGAGTCTGACTGTTTGAGGCTGTGGACAGGTGTCTTTTATACAGATAACGAGTTCAAACAGGTGCCATTAATACAGGTAACGAGTGGAGGACAGAAGAGCTTCTATAAGAAGTTACAGGTCTGTGAGAGCCAGAGATCTTCCTTGTTTGAAGTGACCAAATACTTATTTTCCACCATAATTTACAAATAAATTCTTTAATTTATTCTTTTTTTTTTCACATTCTGTCTCTCACAGTTGAAGTGTACCCATGATGAAAATTACAGACCTCTGTCATTATTTTAAGTGGGAGAACTTGCACAATCGGTGGATGGCTAAATACTTTTTTGCCCCACTGTCTAGACACTTTCAATTTGTTATTTTGAAAAGCAATTATATTTCTGTTAAACACTGAATCGAGTCATAGCAGAGACCTGGGAAAAGGGTTGGCTTAATTAAATAATTACATTAACAAAGCATTAACATTTGACTTTCAGTCAAGTGAAACACAGAACAGTTTGACATGTGGACACTGGATAAATGATAGAGATGCAGAAGCAGTTAGTGGCTTCTGCATCTAACTGATGCAGAAGCCACTGCATCAGTTTTAATGAGTTTTAACTCATTAAAACTCAGCCTTTTTAATGAATTGAAAAATTAAGAAACGATATATATGATATAGCTTATTTTCTACCTTCCTATTTTTATATTTCCTATCTTCATCTTTCCTATTTCTATTTAATTCTTTTTTCTTTTTCAACCTTTCTTCAACAAAACTCGTATTTTGATAATGAGCCAAAGCTGCTGAAATTGTGAGTTAGCTTGTTTGCTATTCTAAAGTCAGATGTTCTGTGTCTGATTTCGTTAGTGACATAAATACAGTTCAGTAGGGCTGGGCAATATGGCAAAAATGCTAGCTTTGAACAATTTCAATTTTAAATCGAGTCACCAAAGACAGACCTGGCCCTTAAAAATATTTTTTGATCTTTTCGCCCAATATTCAAGTTTCAAAAGTATTTTAAATTTGTTTCCCCCAATACGTATTACAAAAATCTTATACAGACTGTGCTGATATTGCAAGTATAATTCATGTGCTGCTGGAACTTTAAATATTCTTCATTCGATTTCTCAATTTTCACTTTTTTCACATTTGATTTTTTTTTTCAAAAGCTGATTAATTGCGTAAATTCTATTTATTGCCCAGCCCTATAGTAATATTCTATTCACAACCAACAATAATTTTATTTGTGAAAATCCCCAAGCCCTATTTTGAATAGTCCACCTATTTTGACAGCAATACGCTGCAGAGTGCTCAGGCATCACACTGAGCACCGCAGGTAGGAGATCGGTCCAAGATGGGGACCCCATTTTTTCTTCCCCAGCTGTGATGTCTACTCTTCTATATGTGTATAAGTGTAGCAACCAAGCGGAATTTGCTGGTTAATAACAGCCTTTGTCTTTGACTAGGGATGCACCAATATACTAGTAGTGGGTCGTTACCATAGGCTTGTACTCATACCATAGGACCCGATACCTCAGATTCAGATTCCGTTTATTTGCCATTTGCAGTAAAAAAAAACCCACATTGGAATACATTAGCAAAAGTCACCAGTGTGCAAATACAAATACAGACATAAAACAACAAGACGAAAAACAACAAAACACAGATTGTGCGCACCAGAGCGTTCACTGCGGCGCCCTGACACGGCGCCATCTTGCTAGTCCTGCAGTCGATACCCACATTTTTAGTTTATATTAGCGTCACGACAGCAGACAGATGTGTGGGACGTGTTGCCGTGGTGATCTCCTAAAGTCCGTAGGGAGAAGGCAAGCTAGCGACAAGACGTTGGTCGTATGTCAGTTTTTTTTTTTAAAGGAAACTGTGACCAGTAACAAACATGTATAACTCCAGCAACTTAATCAAACATCTGAAAACTCACTGCACGGAGTATAAGACCTTTGCTAGCACCGGAGCACCACAATGACAAACTTTGGAGGAGCCATTTCTTTGTACCATTTGAATGAGTAGAATATGACAATAGGGCTAGAGGACGCAGCCTCTTGGTATCAGCGCCGCTCCTCGTTCTGTGATTGGAGGAGAACGAGCGTCACGCCAAGTCTCTACTCAGCACTTTTTTTACGACCTGAATTCATACACAAACAAATCAATGAGCTCAAGTTTTCAATTAAATTACGGATAATACAACTTGTATGTATTATTTTTTTTTTTTTTATGAGTTCATATCGGCTATAGCGAGAAATAAAACTTTCAAAATGTCAGTAGTATTAGTTTTATAAATTCTCAGGGATAACGCAATGCAGTATTTGTATCGATACGTACTCACTTTTAGGTACTCATACTTGTGTTGGTTTGGAAAGAGATGGTATTGGTGCATCCCTACCTATGTTAGGGTGATGTTTGCTTGATGGAGGCATAACGTTGCACTTTAAAAAAATAATTTTTAATTTGCAAGTAAGACTATGTGCAGGATTTGTTCTATCACATTAAGCCTGGTTCACATGATGATTTTAAAATTGTCGGCCAAATGTTTTTTTTCTTTTTCTGTGTGAGACCCCACACACAGAGATAAAAAATCATGGGTCTAACCACTTTGGTCGTACAGTGTATGGTGCGCAGCCACACGGAAAAAATCACGCAAACCACACACCTCACACGAACCGACGTCCCCCCCCCGAGCATTCCCAGATCAGACGGAAATCTCACAAAATCTTGCGAGATCAAGCGTGACTTCCGAGTAAACACACATGGCGGACGAAGAGGATGCAGTTGCGATAGTTTGTTTTTATCTGATGGTCAAAGAAGTGGAGACAACGCGAGCATGGACTATAGTTGCTAAATCGTGATATGGAGGTGAGTTAAAGCAAAGGAAGGTTTCTCACCCATCATCTGTACTTCTTAGCAAGTTTTCCTGACGTTTCGTCCTCAAACCAGCGGACTTCTTCAGGGAATGAATTCTCAGACTGCGCGTTGGAGATTTATAACCTATGGGTGTGGTTACCCCCACCCTAATCCTGATACTAACTCATAAACGATCTAAGGTCTGCTTGATGCTCCCTTCTACATAATTAGAAACAGGCCAGTTGGCAAGAAAAATACCACAAAACTACTGTATGAAGATTCTCAATTTAAGAATTCAACTTAACATAGAGATTATAAACCTAAAGGACGAGATAGAGTGCCTTAAGCACAAACTGGAATTGGCAGTCTCACCAGAGTTTTTTCAGAGGATTTGGACGTTTACGGAAACTGCACAACTGAACCATCACAAGAAGGCCAAAGAGCGTCAGATAGGCAAATTTCTAAAACTCCAAGACCATAATTATTTTCAACATTCTAAAAGTCAAATTGGACAAGGTGGGGACAGGGAGAATTGGGTCAAAAATCTGTCCGATCGGCATTTATCACAAGCGGAAAAAGATGTTCTTACTAAAGGCCTAAATTTTGCAATAACCCCAAAATATATTCCTACAATTTAATACATCACAGCAG